ATATTGAACAGTGATCTTTTAACCTTTTCTTGACTAGATAACATTTCATAAATTTTAAATATAAATAGTATTGGGATAATATTTGGGAAAACCTAGCTACAAATGAAACTCTTTGATATAAATCCAATTCTGCTATTTTACTGATTTAACCCACATTGGGAAAAGTGCCTTCACCTTTGGTAATTTCCTCTGATACATAGTTTACATAAGGTTCGAAAAAAGCAGATTTAAAAAAACATATAAACTTCAGTCTTAATAAGCAGAGCACACTTTTTTTTAATTTAAAGACTTTAGTTTTATAGAGCAGTTTTAGGCTCATAGCAAATCTGAAAGGAAGACATATATTCTCTGCCCCCACACATGCATAGCCTCTCTGATTATCAATATCCCCCGCTAGGGTGGAACATTTGTTATAACTGATGAACCTACATTAATACATCATCATTACTAAAATCCATAGTTTACATAAGGTTCACTCTTGGTGTACATTCTATGGGTTTGGACAAATGTATTAACATGTATCCATCATTATAGTACCATACCGAGTGTTTTCTCTGCCTTAAACATCCCCTGTGCTCCACCAATTCATCTCTATCAACCCTGGCAACCACAGATCTTTTTAATGTCTCCACAGTTTTGCCTTTTTCAGAATGTCATAGTTGGAATCATACTATATATACCTTTTCGGATTGGCTTCTTTCACTTAATAATATCCATTTAAGGTTCCTCCATGTCTTTTCATGGCTGGATAGCTCATTTCTTTTCTAAACAAATCTTTGTCTAGACCAGGGTGGGGAACGTCTAGCCTGCGAAGTGTATAAGGCCCAAGAAATTATTTGGTCTGGCCATGCCAAGGCATCAGGGGTGAGTTAATTAAATGTCTGATCAAATATAGCAGGCTAATTTTTAAGATGATAATTTTGTATGGCTCTTGAAGGATGTTATAAATATCCAAATGGCCATAGGCAGAAAATAGGTTCCCTGCCCCTGGTCTAGATGTACCATAGTTTATTTATTCATTCACCTACTAAAGGACTTCTGGTTGCTTCTGTTTTGGCAATTATTAATAAAGCAGCTATAAACATTTGTATTCAGGTTTTGTGCAGTCATAAGTTTCCAACTCCTTTAGGTAAATACCAAGGAGTATATAACTTTTTAAAAATTTTGGGTCAGCTATTAATATCTGAGAATTAAAATAAAATTGTAATTTAAAAGCATAGTTTCAATTCTGCAACATCTCCTAATGCTACCAAATTATATACTGAGCCAGGCCAGTATACTTCTTAGTAAATGTTTATTCCACCTCCTGCTTTGATATTAGGTGCCACTTCTTGCTGCTGCCAATATACCAACTTTTAGAAGTACCTTCTCACACCTGTTGTTTCAAATCCTCATAAATTCTTTCAGCTCCCAGAATACCTTGACTGTGCTTGTAAAATGTTTGAAAGCAAGTTGCCCAAAATCCTTTAATTTTTAAAAAAATTTACTAAATACAAAATTATATTTTGACTCAGTTTTTCAGGTTCTCTCAAACTCTACTCCTATCTTGAGAATGAATAACTCAACAGTCCAAAATGCTTACTTGTTGTGCAATTTCTACCTCCCTTTCTTCTAATTTAACTCTCCAATTCCATAGTAGGTGACAGAAGATGGGTTTATTATCATGCAAACATCTGAGTTCTCTAGCTCACCAACCTCCCAATCCTTCACTAAACAATGATATGTCAGGCTTGTTAAAAAGAAATGATAGCCCAGTCGGCCTGGCTCAGTGGTTGAGTATCTACCTATGAACCGGGAGGTCACAGTTCAACTCCCTGTCAGGACACATGCCCATGTCAGGGGCATGCAAGAGGCAGTTGATCGATGACTCTCATCACTGATGTTTCTATCTCTCTCTCCTTCTCCATTCCTCTGAAATCAATAAAAATATTTTTTAAAAATTATAAAGTGAAATGAAACTTAGATGCCTTAAAATCTGCTTGTGTAGTGTTTTTCAGAAGATCATATACAAATGTGGGATGAATGTCTTCAAAACAATTGTATCTTTCAAAGACACTGAAATTATTAACTGTGGGTTTCCTTTCAGAGTTTCAAACAGGGAAATTTGATTCCAAGCAACAGTGGCTTAGGTAACTATTAGAGCCCCACATCACTACTGGCATCTCTCAAAACAAAAGCCAAACCAAACAAACAAAAAAAACCCTAATGCATGGCCCTCAATAAACACACTCAAATACTTACAATATACATCTAATGACAATATTTGGCTTTTAAAAATTCACAATCATCATTTCATCCCATGAGGCAATTTAACAGATGAAAAAGACTAAAGTTTAAAGAGTTTAAATTTCTTGCTCAGAGCCACACAGCTAATCATAAAGGGCAGAATCCAAAACCAAGGAGACTGATAAATTGAAAGAAATGATTTTGTAAGTCAGCCATACCTGAATTTAAATCCTACCACTGACTACTTGTAAAAAGCTGGAATAGAAGCTCCATGACTTTTTGTTCACTGCTATATCTCCAGTGTCTAGAATAGTGCAAGTAAATAGCAGGTCAGTACATATAGATTGAACAATTACAAAAAAAATATTTAACATCTTTAGATCTCTGTTTCCTCATCTGTAAATGAAACAGTAAACTTTTGCCTTATCTCTTGCTAATACAATGTGTACACAAAGTATCTGGTAGCTATTTAAGAATTAATAGACCTGACTCCAAGTTTAGTATTCTTTTCACAAGACCGCCACCCATCTTCTCACTTCTCCTGTAGGCTCTAAGGAAGTAGCAGAGAACTAATGTCAGCATGATTGGCAGGTATGCTGGGTGTTTATTAGGATGGGAAGGGTGAAGAATTAAACTGTTGACTCAGTCAAGTAGTCAGTTGTTCTCTTTACTACCTCTGTCATAGCAATGACAAAGGATCTTCTAGAAGAATCTGTTAACTAATTGCTTATTTTAAATCATTAAGTCTTGGTGGGGAGGGAAGCACCTAATCTATACTTGTGAGATGAAAAAGAAAATGGGGAGGAATACCTAAAGGTAATGAGACAATAAGAAAAGAATACTGAGAGAAGAAGATCCAAAGAACCTATACTAATTCAACCACTATTCCATTTCTTTGTAACTTAACATGTTCTTTCCATTAACTCTCATGGTAATGAATGAAGCAGTCTTTAGGACCACTGATAAGTACTACCAAAGAGATAGAAACAAAAGGTAGATGCTAGTGACAAGGAGAAACGAAAGTTAAAAGCAAAGGGAGATGGCGCTACAAATGGTACTATCAAGAAAGTGAAAAGGCAATTACAAAGAATGGAATAAGTCATATATCTGCTCCTTAGTATCAAAAAACAAGGAACACTTACAACTATGTAATAAAAATATAAATAACCCATTTTAAAAGGGGAAAGGTCCAGACCAGCATGACTCAGTGGTTGAGCATCGACCTATGAACCAGAAGGTCACGATTCGATTCCCAGTCAGGGCACATGTCTGGGTTGTAGACTTGATCCCCAGTAGGAGGCATGCAGGAGGCAGCTGATCCATGATTCTCTGTCATCACTGATGTTTCTATCTCTCTCTCCCTCTCCCTCTCCCTTCCTCTCTGAAATCAATAAAAAGATATATTTTTTTAACGGGCAAAGGACCAGAATAGGCATTTCTCCAAAGAGGATATACAAACGATCAATAAGCACATGAAATGATACTCAACATAATTAGTCATTAGGGAAATGTAAATCAAAACTACAGTGAGATACCACTTCACACCCACTAGGATGGCAAAATAAAAAAGATGGACAATACTAAATTGTCCATACATATGACTTGGTGAGGAAATGGAGAAACTAGAACTCTCATACATTGCAAGTGGGAATATAAAGTGACACAGCTGCTTTAGAAAACATCTTGGATGTTCCTCCATCCAACACAGTTACCATATGACTTAGCAGTTACTAGAATACTAGACATATACCCAAGAGAACTGAAAACATAAGTTCAAACAAAAACTTGTACAGGAATGTTCTTAATAGCATCCTATATAATAAAAGCATAATATGCTAATTAGACCGGAGGTCCTTCCAGACGACCTTGCTGATGAAGCTGGGGCTGCAAGGGAAGCCCGGGTCCTGGGTGCCAGAGGGAAGCCAGTGCCAGCAGCCAGGGGAAGGAAGGCCTACTTTTGCACGATTTTCGTGCATCAGGCCTCTAGTTATTTATAATAGCTCAAAAGTGAAAACAACCGAAGTGTCCATGAACTGATGAACAGATAAACAAAATGTAATAGATCCATATAGCAGAATCTATACTAATAAAAGGGTAATATGCTAATTAGATCAGATAGACCAGATGTCTTCCAGACATCCTTCTGGACAAAGCTCAGAGCAGAGGCCAAGGCAGAGGCGGTTAGGGCGATCAGGTTGGCAGGGAAGAGTGATTAGGGGTGATCAGGCCCGCAGGGGAGCAGTTAGGGGCATCAGGCAAGCAGGCAGAGGTGGTTAGGGGTGATCAGGCAGGCAGGCAGAGGCTGTTAGGGGCAATCAGGCAGGCAGGCAGGCAGAGTGGTTAGGGGCAATCAGGCAGGCAGACAGGTGAGCAGTTAGGAGCCAGTGGTCCCAGATTGCGAGAGGGATCCCGGATTAAAGAGGGTGCAGGCTGGGCTGAGGGACACCCCCCATGCATGAATTTCATGCACCGGGCCTCTAATTTATCAATAAAAAGAAATAAGACACTGATAGATCTACAATGTGGATGAACCTTGAAAATATTACAGTAAATGAAAGAAACCACACAGAAGGATACATATTATGATTCTATTTATATGAGACTAGAGGCCCGGTGCCTGCACCCTCTCCAATCCAGGACCCCTTGTGGGATATCTGTCAGTTGGACATCCCTCTCACTATCCTGGACCACTGGCTCCTAATCGCTCACCTGCCTGCCTGCCTGGTCACCTCTAACTGTCCCCCCCACCCCTGTCGGCCTGGTCGCTTCTAACT